AGTTGGAGTAAATAATTTGCTGTATTATACAATTGATCATTTTTACACAAAGGTGAAAGTCTAACCTTCATTGACCCCTTCCCCTTTTCAGGTTTCTTCATAGAGCTGTACATAGCTCTATGGGGTTCTCCCAGCCAGGGCGAACTCTAACCCCCCCCCCCAGCTGCGGTAGAGAATTCTTATTTCAATTTATCTCAGGATTTCATAGTTGTGACACAGTGAGCAGGGTATACCATGTTCTGTGGTCTCTGCTTAGGCGTTTGAACACATTAAGCAGAGCTCTAGTCAGGTTTGGGTCCCTGTGAGGCGAATATGTTTTCCGTGCCAAATATTCGCTATGGTCCCATGGAGTTGTGCACAAAATGGTCATACATGATGCATGTGGTTCAAAGGTCAAAGATATAAAATCGGCATCTCAATTTCACGCGTTGTGTGTACGTGCATGATTTGTGTGCAAGTACATCCACATACATGGGTTTACATCAGCCAGTACTTGAAGTTTAATAAGTCGGCTTTGTGAACGTCGTGCAGTGATGAAGACCTTGGTGCCCACACTGGCATTTAAACCCACTGTCAGAGGCGGATCCATGGGGGGGGCGGGGGGGGGCGCACGCCCTCTTTTTTTCACCCACCAAAAATAATGATAAATAAATTAACTTAAAAAAGAAGAAGATGAGTCATACTGCCTGAATCTGCACCACAAAGCGGCCTAGAATCCAAAAATGCCCCGAATCCTACATGCCGTAAGGACTTCACGCTACGCGCTAACGGGCATTTTAATTACCATTGCTGCTTGCGTTCACACACCCCCCCACCTTTGAAAATCCAGGATCCCGCCCCTGATTGCCATCATATTTTTGGAATTTTTAACTGTGTTTTGAATAATGTCTTCGAGTTCCTCTTTGACTGAAGGGTCACACCTTTATACCCCCTTAGGGCCTATGTTACACCCTGTCCATTAAAATTCCTGCCTACAATTGCAAGATAACGGCTAAATTTAGCTTCATCCTAAACTTGGGTCGTCCATTTTAACACAAACTACGAAGGCCACCAATTTTCATATTCTTAACACACATATGTAGCCCACTAGAACTAAAGTACTCTATGGAAAGAGAATTGAGCCCTGCTGTAGTCCCTTGTTATTACGGGGTTGTGTGCATTTGTTTTGGCCCTGTACACGCACATGTACTGTACATGTACATCATGTACATGATGTACATGTACAGTAATCACACAGACAGAAATTAATACAGTTCGAGGTTCAAGCATAAACTAGCGACTACATGTAGTTCTCAACATCGTGCAATAGAGCCCGAAAGTAAAAGGTCACGCAGCGAGTTTCCGGAACTTTTGCGTGGTCTGCCTATGGGGATTTTACATTGGACCGTCCTATCACGTTGGATAATTTTTGGAAAAATAATTCCTTACTGAAACCACCCCATGAAACACTCTCGTTGGAATTTTGCCTCATCTTCCTCAAGTACAATTTTGGAAAAGTCACCCGGAGATGGGTAAAAACAAATGTTATTAAAGACCTTTCATGTCCAGCGATATCATTCCTACAATCCTGGACAAAGCAGTTGGAACACCTTGTGGGAAGCGCGGTGGGTGCTGTAAAACTAGCAAGCATCACATGAAACACTTTCGGCCAATCAAGGTATAGAGTCTGTGGGTGAAGTGTTATACACATGTTACACATCCACTGTATTTGCTCGTTGGTACGGCTATCCCTTCTCTTAAGTGTTGCAACCACATTGTTTTGAATCTACATAGGCCAAATTAAGTAAATTGAGGATTTTTTACAATCGAAACATGGATTCATAGAACATCAAGGCTGGAATTTTCAACTGTGCGTAAATTCTCTTCACTACACCTCATAAATATTCATGACAAATCAGAACGCGCCATTGGCCGATTCCACCCCCCGTCCGGGAAGTAGAAATTGTGCGCGGCCAGGTGACATCATACCGGTGAGTATTGTAACGGCAACCTAAACAGGTACAACCGCCAGTAAGGGAAACTAACTATATTTCTACTAAGTTAAAAAAAAATCAGTAAGAATACAAGAAAGGAAATTCAAATTACACCTTCAAACGACTGAATTTATTAATTTAATAGGTGCTTCTTCACCTGGGACAAAAACACCAGGGGAGGGCGAGTTACAAACTGAAACAGCCTGAAACTGTGTAAAATAGTAGCAAATGTAGACCAACTACGGTGAAACACCGTAGTCTGGGCATGGCAAAGGAAATGGGCACAAGGTAAAACTAAAGAAAAATAAATTAGAATATACTCACGGAAAGACTGCGCAAACCATCGAACCCTTCCCAGAAAAATTAGTTGTAGTGGTGGTGCAAAGTAATAGCGACAAGATATTTCATTCAACTAAGGATCCTGCAGCAGGAACTAAAATGGAAATAAGGGAACAAAATAACACACCACCATTCACCACCATGCCCCAACCGTAAGTCCACACCTACTAGTTTAACAGGCAGCTTTTATTAGCCTGTAGGGAGAGTTATATAAGAAATGTTGCACCACTGCTAATAGAAACAAGGAAAGGAATTCTTAAGACTGCAACGAACAAACCAAATTAGCATTACTGAGGAACACAGAGCCAGAGCCAGGGCTGCAGAGTCAAATGAAATAACAAAAGATAAATGAAAAATAAGAGCCTGCGGTACTATGGCCAGACCACTAACATTTTAAAGAAACTTACTCCTTAACGTAAAAAAAGGAAAAGACCCAAATTTTGTTACACTGCCCTTCCCTGGGAGCAGAGCACGCCTCTGTATTATTTTTGTATATGTACATATATAAATAATTTATCACCGCGGGACATTGGAGGCTCTTGTCACTAAGTGGGTCAGTAGTGTTCACTTGCGGTTGCTGGCACGGTGATTTAATGCCTCGAACTAGTTACTGGCGTGACCTTAAAATGTCAGTAGCACTGGAGAGAGTTACTCCCGGTCACTTTTGCTTGAGCAGCCGTGGTGTTTGGTTGGAAAAGAGAAAATCTGTCTGTTTTGCAAAAGCAACCCTCCTCCACCCCGTTCAGTGCCACCACCTGTCAGCTGTAGCTTACTTTTATACCTTTTTTGTTGCCTTGCAAAACAAATGTTGATGGCATTCCGTCGGTAGTCCACTTTGCCGATTCTAGAGTAATTGGCAGCGATCCGGTAAATCCTGTACTCGGTTGCCAGTTTTACGGAGCCAGAAGGGAATTCCCCCCCCCTTTTTCTGTTTAATGGTTTTTTTTGGGGGGGGTTCGCCCTTCTTAGAATTGCAAAGTCACCGACTTAGGTGGTTGTTTGGCGTGAATTCCACTCAGGGACCGCAAATTGACCTCAGTTTTAAGGCACTACATTCTTATTTACGACACTTATGGGAATGTGCCCAAAGGAAAGGCCTGATCCCTTCCTTTGTCAGGGGAGTCACTAGATTATTAAGGG